AGATGGATTGACACGGTGGCTGCAATGATGGGCTCAAGTATAGCAGGGATTGTGGGGCTGGCGCGAGATCGGGCTGTGTTTCGTTCTGCTGTTCATGGGGTCGTTATGGGAAGCGACTCGATGGCACTTAACAACAACAACAATTTTTTCCCCCAGTTTGTAGATTCTCTTTTTAGTCTTTTGATGAAGTCTTTTGATGCACATAAATGTTTAAGTTTTAGAAGGTCCCAGCTGTCTAGTTTATCTCTGCTGTTTGTTATTATAAGAATTCTTAAAATAAATCACTCTGAGTTCCTTTTCCATGCCTATTCCAACTGGAAATAGATTTTCCAGCATCCTTTTCTAGTATTCTTTAAACAAACTATTTTATTTGAAGTTCTCAGTTTAATAGACTCTTAGTTAGATTTAAATTCTTAGAATAATAAAGCAATATCCCTAATAAATATAACATTAAATTTTATATTGGCTATTGTCCACAGTAGGAGCTCTCGTTGCCTAGTGCTTAAGGCATTTGACTGCTAATTAGAAGGCTGGCAATTCAAAACCACCAGCCACTCTTTGAAAGGATGGTTGGGCAATCTATTTCCTTAGTGATACCGCCTTGGAAACCCAAGGAGGGGTCGCTATGAGTTGGATCCCACTCGATGGCAGTGTTTTTTATTTTTTTAGTTTATTACCCATAGTAGGTGTCTTAGTTATATAGTACTACTGTAACAGAAATAGCACAAATAGTTGGCTTTAACAACATAGTTTAGGAGACTGGAAGTTTGAATTCAGGGAGCTGGCTCTAAGGGAAGTCTTTCTCTGTTAACTCAGGGAGAAGTTCCTTGTTTCCTCAGCTTTTATTCCTTTGCTCCTTGGTATTCTTCAAGTGGGGCGGCATCTGTATTCCCCCATCTCTGCATGCTTCTCTATGCCTAATCCGCTTTTTTTATTTCTCAAAAGAGAGTGAATCGAGACACACCCTGCACTAATCCTGCCTTATTAATATAACAAAGAAAACACATTTCCAAATGGGATTATTAACCTCAGGTATAGAGGTTAGGATTTACAACACATAATTTGGAGGGTCACATTCAATCCATAACAATAGGTACGGATTTTTTTTTCTAATGTACCTATATTACAATAAAGTTTCCTTTCCTCCTTTAATGAATGATAAATCTCAGGTATTTGTTATGCTATTATGCATTTTATGCAATTAATTGAAGAAAACCTATACAAAATCATATACAATTTGGGGATGTAATTCTTGAATGAAAATACTGAGTTAAACAGCAGATTAAATGTCTTGATAAAATAGAATGTATACCATTAAACATATTTAATATTAGAACAAAGAGGTAACAATTGTGCATTTCAAGCAGAAATAATTTATCTGACCTAGTTTTTTAAAAATTTAAGTATATTATAACAATTTTTAAAAATATATTTTGCTGTAACCAGTGGTCAATTCAAACATATAGTTTACACTAGATAATTAATTGATTCAAAAATTTTAATTGTCATAAATTACTTTCTTTTTAGTCATTTATCATATTTTAATCCTAATAATCTCTTCCATAGAGAGTTTTTCCATATATGGAAATAAATTATCTTTTTACTTGGTTTTATTTAAGAATATTTTTTTTTTTACTCAGATACATAAGTTTTTAAAAAGTGACCATATGTCCAAAGATAGTCTATTATTTTTTTAAATTTGAATATACTGATTTGGCTTTAAAATGTTTAGCAAAACATTTATTAGTCAATATAATTTGGAAGCAATTAATTTGTTATTGGGATTTTGAAATATGCTGTCTAACAAAATGGCACTTTAAAATATTGGAAGTACATAAGATGTTTTTCCACCTTTAGGTTAAGATCTCTCAGAATTTTCCACAATCTACATGACAGGGCAGAAAAATTAATTATCATAAAATTACCACATACATAATAGAAAAATTACTTGTACATTTAAAAATATTTTTATATCTCATTTTTAAAATTCATCAGTTTTTTTCCCACTTTTGAAACAGAAAGAAACAAAATCTCATTTAGAAATATTTCAGATTTCCATATTTAATCTTGCAAATTCTCAGAAATTAAAAATAGTGAAATCTTTCTATGAGTTTCTAAGGAAAATGTCTAACATTTTTTAACCTCAGAAAAATGAAAAGAATAAATCTAGTGCTCAGTACTTGCTATATTACATTAAGACAGTATAACCATTCTTGCCACAAACACCTCTTTCAGTCCACAGTAATAGTGAAAATTATGAATCAAATAATAAGTCATTTGATTTTACTTTCCATGGCTATTTTTCTTTTTAACGTGGAATTATAATGTATTAAACCTTAGTTTCAGTTTTTTTTTTATCTCATCCATTAGAAAAGGTCGTTGTTCAACAGAATATTTTCATGTTCAAGAGCTAGACCTTTGAAGGGTAAACATAATCAGAATGTACTGATATAAGCTTCAGGAGATCGTTACTTGCTATCTATCAATATTGGAGTTATGTGGTAGTTAACTTTGTGTGTCAACTTGGCTGGGCCTGGTTGAGTGGCTGGGCAGCTAGATATAATATTCCCCATGATGAGACTGGTAATCAATTCCATGGTGGAATCTATTGTGAGCAGCTGAGTAGCTGCCTTAGGGATGTGGTCTGCTTCCTATATATAAGGAAAAGCCTTGAGAAAGCCTTCCTATATATAAGGAAAAGTCTCTAGCTTATGGCATGCTTGAACCCTGCAGGTAGCCGTATCATTGTTCAGCAGCCTGCCATGCTCTGCTGACCTTGGGACTTGCAATGGACTTGAATTAATGGCCTGCCATGTGGTTTGGTAACATTGGGACTGTGCCTTTTTTACTTGTCAACCTTGGGCTTGTCAGTCTCAGCAGCCAGCAGCTGTCCAAGTGAAGAAAAGCCTCTAGCTTCAGTGAGCTAGGAGCAGGAGGCACAGCTGAAGCCCAAGGTTGAGGGGCTTTTATCTAGCCCCTAGAGCCTGGCACTTTGAACTTGTACTTAAAGTCTCCAAACTATAAGAGATGTTCAAGCATCCTATTTGTGGTATTTTCCTGTCAGAGCGGCACTAGGTAACCAGAACAAGTGATTATGGGTCAAAATAAGATGTATTCTAATTTGTTGACAACTAGAGAATAGTCATTTTCCTAAATTTATTCCATTTTTCCTTACTATAAATCTCTGAATTACAATTTTCATGTGCTTTCTCTGTAACCTGGTTTCCATTTTTCCTTAAGATGCTCTTCTAAAAATTATGCCTTTTTTTCCCATTGGGTCAGCTGTCTGCCTCATTGCCACCACCACCTCCAGGAGGGCCAGAGGTTGTGGTAGAATTGATTGAGTCCAGGCTTTTCTGTAGGTGTGCCTTTCATATTTCCCCTACAAACAACTCTCCTGGTCTAGACTTTCTTCTCAAGAATTCAAAGAGGCACTGACACAAGAGACGTTCTTTTTTAGAACTTGATGGCATAAACCTCAGATTTGGGGACAGGATATATTTAATATCAATTTGTTTTTCTTTTCATGAATGTATCGATTTTTACAAATGGATTTTTTTTCATATCGTGAATACGGTTTTTGTACCCAGAATATAAAACACAAATATATTTCTTTTTTTTTTCTTGGTAATTGTGCTACTTATAGTGATGCTATACAACGACACAAATGGAGGCTGTACACGTGGACTTCACCAGATGGAACACACAGGAATCAGATTGACTACATCTGTGGCAAGAGGCGGTGGAAAAGCTCAATATCTTCAGCC